CACAAACACACACACACACACACACACACACACACACACACACACACACACGCACACTTCCCTGTCCTCCTCCTCCCCCTCCTCCTCCCAGCGTGTCTGAGTCTCCGGCTGCATGAACGAGCCTCGATTCACTACAAGCCTGAACTTCTACGATGCGTCTCTCCCATACCTCAACTGACTGCACAGCACAATCTGCAGCAGCATAGGATGTAATCAATCCCACATGTTTCATCTCTGCGACTCGGGGATTTTCTCTTTGAATATTTTTGTACTTTTTCTTTCTTTATACCCCCCTCGCCATGCAGTGGATATAACTTGCCAGTGAGTATTATGCTATATCTCTGTCTTATACTGTTTAGTGATTGGACTGAACGTGGATTTTAGTTGCATGCTGCATGCAGGAGAGGATGAGAGAAATCGATCGTTTTATTTAAATGGAGATGCATCTGTTTTTTTCAAAAGACTCCGCTGTGTTACACTGTCATACCTTCAGAGAATCAGATAGTAAAAATGAAAGCTGACTCCTCAGCTTCACTTCTGAGAATAATAATGTACAAACACGCCGTTTTAGTAATTGTACAATTTGCATTAGTAAGCTACTGCGGTTTGACAGCGCTATTTAAAACTGTTTCTCTTCTGTCCGGTGTGTCACTTTGTGATTTGACCTCTCTTCGCAGCCAAATAACTTGTGCGTTCCTAATTCATTTGGATGACTATTTAAATCCACTCGCTTCTCCGCGTATTTCCTCGCCCCTGTAGTTTTGTACACTATAAATTGTAGTTATTCCCTTTGTCACTTTTTTACTCTGTGTGTTCGTGAAGGAGGGAGACAGAGAGGTTTATTGCAAACTGCAGTGTTCCCTGCTGCTCCCCTCGGTGTCAAGGCTGTGCAGACGCCGGGCTGCCTTCAGCTCGGCCCGGCTTGTCTCTCCTGTTTAGCCGGCCTGTGAATATCCGGATTTAGCACGCAGTAGTTATGCTTTGTGACTTTACTGCAGAATTGTTGAAAGGAACGAGTTGGTCTCTGAACCCAAACCGTGGATGCAAACATTTACAGTGGTATAAAGATTTCTGTTCAAACAGCGTAAACACGTTTTTAACGTGATCTTAAAAACGTCTTTTTGCGGATTTGCTGGATTTTGTAATAAATGAATGTTGCCTAATGCCCTTTTTGACTAGTAAGGACAATGTTAGGTGGATTTTGCTCTGGCGATATTTTGACCCTTTGCAGGGCAATGGTGATGGGGTTGCGTGTGTGCGCGCGTTTGGGAAGTGAGTGTCTGTGTGTGCATGGGTGGTGTGTATGGGGCTTGGGGGAGTCTGGGTGAAGTGGAAGGAAGTCTGAACGCCTTCCACCACACACACAAACACACGCACACACACACAGCAGATCCAAATGATCATTTTCCCAAAGTGTTCGTCGCGATCTGTTCACAGACGTTTTGTTTTCGTGGCTTGCGATAACACGGGATTTGGATTCAGGTTGTTAAATGCAGCCTGAGTGGCTCTCTGTTGACGTGGAATGTAAACAACGAGGACGTGTGTTTACGTTCTGAAAATTTAAAAATGTATAGACAAATGTCAGACGAGAGTGGTTTATGATTGATGTCCCGTAGAGAAGGGCCATTGTTTCTCACAGCCTAAGGGACAGGAGAGAGTCCATTTTGCCTCCCCAGTGCGCTTGTAGTAGCCTGCGTTTCTCTTCCTTTGTACTGTAATTTTTCCTCTTACTGTGTCCTGGATGTGTGCTCAAGGTGGTTCTCACAAACAAAAAGCAAATCAAAGTATTTAAATGCATGTGTAGTTTATGTCAGATTGTTTTAGGGGAAGCATTTTGACATTTGCATGCATTGGGTACTTTATGCTTGGGAGTATTTAGCGTGTGTGTCTGTGTGTGTGCGAGTTGAAGGAGACCTGAATATCCGAGCTGATGCAGCCTATATTCTTGTGCACTTCACAAGCAGCTGGTCCACCAAAGCATTTTATATTTTCTTTGTTCCTTTATCGTTGATTTCTGGGAGGCGCTATCAGCATCTACAGAGCGCTACATGGACGTGCCACGCATTGAAGGGCCTAATAGATGGACTGCTGAGGTGTGTTTGGTGAACACAGGCACCCGGCTCTCCCTATCTGAGCGTCACAGGGAGCCCTTTTTAAGTAAATGACCTAGGCTATAAGGCATAGTCGATGGTTTCCTAGTCTATTTCACTGTTTATTGCCCCGCTCTTTCGCACTGGAGCATAAAGGTGATTTGATTTGTGTTTGTGATTACAGTGTAGCCTATGTGTACTGTATGTGTAGCAGAGATGCATGGTGTTTGCCATTGTCAGGAGGCAAAGACCACTGCTGCTGACTCCGTAGGAGTTAATAGAAATAGCTGTTTCATCGCCGTTTTCATTATTAAACAAGGCAAATAAAATTCCCGGTCAGAGCAGTGCAGACAGCAAAAAGTCTACTATTAAAGGTGAAACAAGTTTAGTAAAGACATAGAAAACAGCAAGGGTTTAGTTTTTAAAAGATATACAGTAAACAATGGAGAAATGTGTGTGCATCTAAACTCCACCGCATTTTTTTGTTTTGTTTTGTTTTGTTTTGTTTGGGGTTTTTTTTTTTGTAGAAATGTTGGATTCCGTCCACCAACGTGACACAAACACATGTCAAAATCGATCAGATTTTATTACAACGCTATGAGGAAAGGAAACAAACTTAATTTACATACACAAAAACCCTTAATTTAAAAAAAGGAGTTGTTTTCTGTTCTGGAATCTATTGGGACTCGTGATGTTAGTCGTCATACTTTAGGAGAAAACTGCCTTTACGCATTTGTGCTTTGCGCAAATGCACTCGTTTTCTTCATGTTTTAGTGTAAGAGCCTCCGAGGTGCCGTCCTTGTTCAGTTTAAAGACTTAATAACTCGTCCTTCATCGAGAAAGGCTTTTATCGCCGTGAACTCTTGCACTGTATATGCATCATTTGTTTGTACGTGAGCCAGCTCTCCCCCTTTTCCTTTCCATTCTTTTCGCTGATACAGAAAGCTCCCGTGTGCGTTATTTGCATCGTGTTTGGTCACAGGATGGGGAGGAGGACGGGGGCAAAGACTCTTCTGTTGGAACTAACGATGTAGTGCAGACCCACATAAACTCAGTTCACTCACCTTATCTGCAGAACAGACTTTACACTCATCTTCTCGTGTTGGCATAAATCGTGGCTAAATGTAACGTAAGGAATGGCACTAAAGTAGTGACAATATTTAATCGTGATCTTTTAAAACGTTTCTGTCAAATATGAATCGCTTTTTGTAAATATTGCTTGTTTGTCTGCAGATGAAGAGCGACTGTCTCTCAGTTCAGTGTGTTCTTCAGCACTATATCCCTGGTTGGCTCATTATTGTCAGCGCTTTGACGTGTCTCCCGCTCTCTCCTTTGTAGGACATGACAGGGACTCAGTTTCTACCCTGTAAAGCCAAAACTCCGCTCAATGCGAGGGGAGCCCGAAGTTCATAAAAGGGATTATTTGCATCTGGGTGCCTGAGACCTTCGGTGCCTCCGGATTTTACTTTGGATTTGGGATTTATCGGTTCTCACCGGGATGGAAAGCCGAGATTTTGCTCCTCCGCACCACCTCCTGACGGAGCGGAGCGCGTTGGTTCACAGCGCCGCGTCTCGGATGGCGCCAGGCGGCCACGGCTCCGTGCAGCACCCCGCTCACTTCCAGCCTGGGAAATACTACTCCTCTCACCTCTCCATGGCTCCGCACTCAGGTCAGTTTTGAATGCAGATCTTTTCCTGTGTATGAAGATGAAGTGTGGGTTTAAAAATCTGTTGCTGCCTTTTGTCTGAGGCATATGTTCTCCATATTGCAAACTTGGGAAACCCTGAAGCTCTTAGGGACGGACTAGAATTTATTGTGGAAGGAAACTGCTGGGACTCCTCCTCAGTGGGCATTTAGAAATTAGCAGAAAAACGCACAGGCATCTTAAAGTTTTATGTTTTCCCTCATTTAATGGACAGTTTATGACGTGGGTTCTTGCTGTGCGTAATATATTTGTCAGTTTACTATTTCAGCTTCGCATAAAACAAAGCATGAATCAAAGAGGGAATTTTTCCTTTTGCAAATAAGATGAACCTAGACTTTGCTCTTTCTTTGTTAGACTAAATCTCCCAAAAATGTAGACATTTTGTAGGATTATTGCTTTTATCACACAGGGATTATTATTAGGCGTTTCCTGTGGCATAATCTTGTCATAGATTTGTATGGTTTCCTCAATTAGTAACGTACTAATCATTGCCAGTTGATGTAATTAATTAGAATTGGGTAATTCGACTACTTATATCTCCCATTAAACAATAAATTAAAGCTATTAGCTGAGCCTTACTGGTGCAGTGTCTTTGCAGCGTTTCCTCCTTCACTTGTTCCCAAGAGCTTGGGAGTTTGGTGCTGGTGGGTTCGGGGCACATGCTGGTTTGTACTGGTCACAAACGGGGGATCGCAATGTGGAGGGGTGTGGAGGGGGGAGCTCTGGCTAGAGGTGCGGGTAATACCAGAAAATCCGGTTTCTATATTGAGCGGGGACGTGACGGGGTGCGAATGGGTTGACAGTGCATGCATTAGATTTAACAAGTAGCTTTGGTATCCTGTCTCAATGTCGTGGTGGAGGGTGGGGGCACTGGAACGGTGTGTGTGTGTGTGTGTGTGCATGTGTGCGTGTGTTTAAAGAGAGAGAGAGAAAGAAAGAGAGGCTCCGCTCGAAAGCATACGGTGTGTACATACTGGACTAACTGGATGAACGTAAACGTGCCCGATGAGAAATCTCATTAATTATCAATTGTAAATGCAGTTGGTTTTTGTAATAGACGCTGGCGCTCGGGCCTGTGGATGATCTCGTCTGTTGTGTGTAGGACCCATCCAGACTGTGCTGTCTCCAATTATGTGCATATTCATTAGTTTGACACAACAGCAAAACCCACGCAGAATTTTAGCTCCTAAAATTTTGAACACTATATATTCTACACATTTCCAGGCAACACAATGAGCTCA